GCGCGCCCCGCGCCCGGCACGGCCCCACCGCGCGCTGCCCGCAGGCGTCTTCTGCTGCGGCCCCGCGCCCGTCAAGGCCGTCAAGGAGGGCGACCTGCAGCTCAAGTACGACACCCCCTTCGTGTTCGCCGAGGTCAACGCCGACATCGTCTACTGGATCGTGGGCTCGGACGGCTCCGAGCGCAAGAGCACGCACACATCCTTCGTGGGCAAGAACATCAGCACCAAGAGCGTGGGCCGCGACACGCGCGAGGACATCACCCACCACTACAAGTACCCCGAGGGTGCGTGCGGCGGCGCGGGCTGCAACCGGGCGCTCCCCGCGCGGTCCTGACGCCCCGCGTGGCTCCCGCGCAGGCTCCGACAAGGAGAGGRAAGTGTTTGCCAAGGCCGAGCTGGAGAAGAGCTCCGTGCAGGAGGAGGACGAGGGGCTGCACCTCAGGATTAAGCTCACCGAGGGCGCCAACAACGGCTGTGACTTCGACGTGCTGGCCGTCATCCACAACAMCACCGATGCAGAGCGCGTCTGCAGGCTCATGATCTGCGCCCGCACCGCCAGCTACAACGGCACCGCGGGGCCGCAGTGCGGCATGAAGGACCTGCTGAACGTGGCGCTCGAGCCCCGCGCAGGTAGGAGCCGGGCAGCGCCGCGGGGACGTGGGGACACGGAGGTGCGGTGACGCGGCTTGTGGCGGTGGCAGAGCCTGGCGCAGCTCCCGGGTTCCGTGAGGAAGCATTCCCGCTGCTGCCCGGGCACAGGTGGCACCCCCGGAGGCTGCAAACGCAGCGCGCGGGGCCGGACGGGCACGGAGCGGGCAGCGGGGCGCCTTGTGGCTGTCCCCGTGCCAATGTCCCCCCGTGCGCGTCCTGCTCGCGCCTTCCCTGTGCATCGGCCACACTCATCGCAGCAGATACAGCCAGCGGCAGCGCCCGGTGCCGCTGCCCCGTCTGCATCTGCTGCAGGGGATCTGGGCCTCGGCGCRGGGCTTCCCACGGCAGGGATCCCAGCTGATCCCGCTCGCTGGGAACAGGGTCTGCCCTTGGGAGGCCGCCCTCGGACCACGTGCAGCAGCCGGATGCTCCGCGGCCCTGCGGGAAGGCCGGGCCCTTCCCTCCTGCGGCGGCGGCTGCGCGGGGCCGTCCTGGCACCAGCCACTCGCTTTCATTACAAATTAGCGGTGCTGCTGGTAATTAAACCCAGGTTTGATTTATGCCATCTTTTYACAGACCCTTCAGGGCTTACAAAACTAATCGATCTGATGTACCGGAACAGGCTCGTTTTTAATCTGCGCTGAGATCTGCTCCAGAGGGGCCCTGACAAACGCRGCGCTGGGCCGGGTGCTATTTGTTCAGCTGCAAGGAGGAAGCGCCCGAGGCGCCCGGGGAGCCGGTGCCAGGATGCGGAGCGGGACGGCCCTGGCCGGGCGCCACCACAGCTGCGGCGCCTCCGGAGGCTCCYGCGGGCGGCCCAGCCTCCCCGGCCCCAGCCCCGGCCCCGGCAGGGTCCCCGGGACGCTCAGCGCCGCTCCGATCCCCGCTCCATCCCGCAGCTCCCCGCTCCGCAGCCCCCAGTGTTCCCGTTGGAACAGGCGGCAGGACGGGGCCCCGGCTCCTCTGCAGCCACCGGCAACCCCGGCTTAGCAGGGGCGAGACCCAGGCGGGAGGGAGGGTGCACGAGGGGTGCTCCGGTGCCCGGGGGCTCCGCAGTGCCGGGATGGCTCCGGAATGCCGGGACGTTCTGGAATGCCGGGATGTTCTGGAATGCCGGGATGGCTCCGTGAGCGGCGCCCGCGCTGCCTTRCAGAGAAGCGCGTGCCGCTGCGAGTGCTCTACGAGCAGTACGGCGCCCACCTCACCCAGGACAAGCTCATCAAGGTGGTGGCGCTGCTGACGGACCGCGAGAGTGGCGAGACGCTGCTGGCCATGCGCGACGTCTACGTGGAGAACCCGCAGATCCGGATCCGGGTGAGAGGCCGGGCGGGTGGGCGGGGGGCCGGGGGGCCGGGGCCGCGGCTGCAGCCCTGTGCGCTCGCAGATCCTGGGGGAGCCGGTGCAGCGGCGCAGGCTGGTGGCCGAGCTCAGCCTCACCAACCCGCTGGGCGTCCCGCTCGCCGACTGCGTCTTCGCCGCCGAGGGCGCCGGCCTCACCGAGGGGCAGCAGCGGCAGCAGCTGTAAGAGCAGCCCGCGCGCGGGGCCGTGGGGGCGCSGGGCCGTGGGGGCCACGGGGCCGGCGCTGACCGCCGCTCCCGCAGGCCGGAGCCGGTGGAGCCGGGCGCCGAGGCCAAGGTGCGGCTGGAGCTGCTGCCGCAGCAGCCCGGCATGCACAAGCTCGTGGTGGACTTCGAGAGCGACCGGCTGGCGGGGGTGAAGGGCTTCCGCAGCGTCATCGTGGCGCCCGCGCCGCAGTGAGCGCCGGCGCCAAGGCAGGGCTCCGAGCTCCGCGCCGCCCCCGGCCTGTCCGCACGCACCGCCAGCCTGCCGGAGCCGCACAAGGAACAAGGACACGCTGCCCTCACCCCGGGCACCTGCTTCACTAACCGGGCCCAGCGCTGCCAACCTCCYGCCCTGAGCTAAGGGACGTTTCCTCGACAGGCACTAACCCCAYGAGCACTGAATAAAACCCCTGTTTTCCATTTCCCGTGTGGTCACTGAGGCTTCCTGCATCCCGGAGTGCTGGAGGGGGCTGGTTGGAGGCGCTCGGAGTGGCTAGGAGGAGCTGGGAGCCGGGTTTGCCGCAGGGGCCTGGCGGTGCCGCCGCGGCCCGCGCGCCGAGCGCAGCGCAGAGCGCCCCGCGAGGTCAGCGCTGCGTCCCCGGGCCCGGCCCCTCCTGGCCGCTGGGACGACCGGGCAGCCGCCACGGGGGCCGGGCCGGGCGCAGGGCAGAGCCCCCTGGCCGAGGGGCAGCCTCGGGGTCCCGCGGGCTGCGGTTCCCGTGGGAGCGACRCGGGGGCCACCCGTGAGCTGCGGCAGGGACTGGGCTGCGAGGCCGGGGCTGGCGGCCCAGGGAGCGGGTGACGCCGTCGTGTCCCCTGCACGGGGCGCAGGGCGGGCGCGGAGCCGGGCCGAGCGCGCGGACCTGCCGCCCCCGCGAGCCCTAAATCACAGATTCAGTATTTACACGGACTGCAGAGAATTTCCAGCTGGGCACGAGCCCAAGTGCYGGCGCGGGCGGGTGCCGGGCTGGGCTGGCCAAGGGGCCCTGGGCAGGCAGGGAAGCGGCGGGAGGAACCGGCCCCTCTCCATGTCTCGCAGACAGGGTCGCCCCGTGCAGCCCCCCGGCTGCTGCCGGGTGCTGGGAAGGGGCCCGGGAAGCGCCGGAGCAGCCCCGGGCAGCCGGGAGCACCACAGCGGAGCCCTGGGAAAGGGGGACCCTGAGGGGCTCGACAACCGGCCGGCCCCGCGTGCCGCTGCAGCCACCACCGCRTCCCCGAGGAGCCCAAGAGCCGGCACCGCTCGTGCACGGCCCCGCTCCCGCAGCCCCGGCCCCGCTCCCCGCGGCCCCGGGACGGCCCATCGCAAGGAGCGCGCTGCGGGCCCCGGGGAGCCCCCCGGGCACGGCAGGGTGTCCCGGCCCGATACGTGCCAGCCCGAGCCCCGGCACAGACCGGTATCTGCAAGGCCACACGCGGCTCCTGGGGCAGCCCAGATAACCGGCACCTTGGGCTCGCCGCCTCCCGCGGGGCCGAGGGGCACCCCGGCACTCCGGCTGCTCCCACGCTCGGGACAGAGGCTCCTTTCYGCCTCCCAGCCGGCACGTTCGGCACCCCGACGCTGCCCGCGGGAACAGCCGACACCGCGGCGTCCGCGGCAGCGTTTGCCTCCGCTTCCTTCCCGTCCCCTTCCCACGTGTCCCTGCCCGCCCGGCACAGCCCTGCAGGCTGCCCGTCTCCATGGGGGCTCCCCGGCGCCCTCTCCACGAGCGGGGGCGCAGAGCGGCCCTGACCGCGCGGAGGCTCCAGCTTTGGGGGCCCTCGTGGAGGCTCCAGCTTTGGGGGCCCTTGTGGAGGCTCCAGCTTTGGGGTTCCTCCTGGAGGCTCCAGGTTCGGGCACCTCGTGGCCTCGCAGGCAGCTGCACCCCGGGGCACCCGCAGCCCCCCGGGCACCCGCAGCTCCGGCGGGAACGGCCCGTCCTGCTCCCTGTAAACAACTGAGCTCAGCTCCGCTCTGTTTCACTTGGCTACTCAGACGAGATTTTTTTTTTTTTTTCCTAAGATGGTACAAAAATAATAAATGAATCTGCATTAGCAGGGAGAGCTGTCTGAAACACAGCGATACTGCACCCTCCAGGACACGTCCTTTTCGCTGCTTGTTTATCCAACGTGCGCGACGCGTGCGGGCCGCTGCACGCCGTGCTCGGCAGCCCGCTGGAGCAAACCACAGCCAGCTTCCAGCGGGAAAGGGCAGCTGCTGGCCGAGGCCCTACCCCAAAAATAAGCAGAATTGCTTGGAAATGCTCCTTTCAGCTTCATGCCACTATGAGCAGCCCGAGAGCAGCCCTGCCAATGCTCCATTAAGATGTTTTACGCGGCTCTCGGTTTCCAGAGGGCACCGGGTGACTTTTCCCTGCTTTTCCACCCCATCTTTGGTCCACAAGTGACCCGTCCCCTCCCGCGACCATCACCCCGTTTCCTCCCCTCCGGCTCTCCTCCAAGCCCGTGCGAGGGCACGGCGGGGGATGCTCCAAGGGCAGCGAACACAAAGCCATCGCAAAGCCACTGCTATTCAACGACACCCGTTTATTCAAAAATAGATATCTATGAGACATTTCAGAATATACTGCTGTCACAAACGGCAGCCTATACCTCTAAATTCATCCTAAAATCAGTCAATATACAGATTTAAGCTTCTGTTAAAAAAAAAAAAATATCTTGGAGAAATCTGTTTAACCTCGAGAGAATTTCATCCAGTTCACCCTTTGCCCAAGAAATAAAGCAAATGAAATTAAAAACAACAAGACTTCATTTAAATTAAGCAAAATAAAACACACACGTATATTTGGAAAAAAAAAATCAGAACATTTCCATTAAAAAAAAAAAGACATACAGTTTTCTCACAAAAGATCTGCCCAAAACAACAGCGTGAGATATCAATATATTTTTCTACATAATTTTTCTAATGACAGCTCTTTTGTCCTATGCTGGATAGCCATTCAATCAATGGTCAAAATAATTTCTGGCTAAACCAGCCTCAGAGTAACACCATGAGCTGGAACGGGATAGACTGGATCTTTCCGGTTGGGTTTTTGAGGTTTGGTAYGTTTTCTTTTGTTTGTTTTTTGTTTTTAAAATTTTTGGCAAAAGCAGAGAAAATACACAGTGCTTTATCTAAATRTTGTTTGGACCATAAAGGGCTGCACTATCGCACTAATCCATTAAAAACAAACAAAGTACTTCTGTCACTGAAATTCCACTGTAAACTAAAAGGAAAAGCACGTTTCTTGGCTGGGCAGGAAGGGTACCTGAAGATTAACCAAGAGAAAAGAAAAGGAGAAGACAAAGTAACGTGTCAGTACGAAAAGCACATGAGCTTTTTACAAACTTAATGACCAAAAATGCTGTTATTTAACTGAATGCTGAATATACTACTGAATACCCTGTAAAATAAATTAAYGAAGCCGCAGAACAAGCTTTGCATTTCCGTAGGTTTCCTCTCATGCCTTTGACAACAGCAGCTTAAGACCAGAGGGAGGCCCAAACTCAGCACCTGACGTGGCCTGCCTAAGCCCAGCCTCCRCGTTACAGAACCTGCACTACCAGACCACGTGTGTCCAGAACCTTCACATGTTTTACAGTGAGAGGTGCTAAATTTCAACAGATTTGTTAGTCAGATTGGAATGGTTTTTAACGATTAGAGAGTCCAGCTTGTTAAAGCTAACACACAAACCCAAATCTAATTCCATCCATGGCAGCTGAAACATCAGCTGGCGGAATCGTGGAACTAAGGAGTATTTTAAATTTGTTTTTCTTTGACTTTTCCCCATAATAAAATCAACTCACGTTAATCTGTGACACTAAATTAAGTACATCCTTCTAATAGCTACGTGCATGGTCATGGCACATGTACATACAGGATATGTGCACACATATGGGTCTATTCTCTATATAAATAAACATTTATACCACATTTAACTTCTGTCCACCAAATAGCGTCTCTAAAGCTATAGAGAGAATTTATAGTATAATGTTCTCAATATTTTCTTCCTCAGAGTAAATCAGACAGCATCTGTCGCCGGGATATCACCAGCTGCAATCCAGCATTTCAACCGCTCAGCTAGTTAAACCAAAGCCTGTGACCATCTCCTCTTGTATAATGGAGAGGAAAAACGTGGTATAAATCTAAGGAAGCAAAACCAAAATTTACTTCCATTCTCGTGTAAGTAATACCCAGKTCTGCCTTGCTCAGCAGAGTGTAAATTATGAAGCTCTCTCTAATTCACAAAGAAAAGCTGTTTATTTTTATTGCCTGCAGTGAGTCTCAATTTATGTACATGCCAAATACAAAACACCTTCATATCAGCCCTGCAACATTATGAGGAATTGTAGATTTGGGAAGGATTTCCCTGTTCGCTGCTGGGTAGATGCCTGCCTTGCCCCGGCGCCGGCGGCTGCGCCCGCACACGGCCCTGGGAACACCACCAGCCTCTCCACTGTTCCAGGGACGAGGTTCAGAAATCCAACTAAAACAGACAAGACTGATTTAGAAACAATACACACTTTATAGAGAAAAAAAAATGTGTTATATGGTCAATCTTTCTTTGCAAACGTTCCAGGTCTATATGTACATGATTCTCATGACTTTTGTGGGGGTAACAAGTGCTAAGAGCAAACAGAAACTAAAAGGCATGGGAAAAATGTGAGGGGTTTTGTCCGTCTGGACTATCCCCACTCCCTTCAGAGCTCGCAAAGACGCCCTCCTTATCGTGCCCTCGGCGAGAGCCAAGGCGCCCAGGGAGCGGGTGAGCACGGCAGCCGGGAGGCTGGAAGCAGCTCTGCGAGTTCCTCCTACAGTCGACCTCRGGGGCCCGGGGGTCCAGTCAGCACCAGAGTCCTCTGTTCTGCTGGTAAGAGCGGGAACCGGGGCCGCCTTTCGCTCTAGTCTGTGGAGAAGAGGTCCCCGGCCGAGGGCAGAGGTGCCAGACCTCCCGTGACATTGGGCAGCAGCGACAGGTCGGGAAGGCTCTGGATGTGGGATTTCAGCTCCTTGCGGACCTGGGTTACCCGAGCAAGCTTCTGTTTATACTCCTGAGGGAAAGAGAAAGGAACAGGGATTAAAACAAGTTATTTAACAGCGCCCTAGGTAAACAAGGAGTGCTCTCCAGGGGACGCTCCGGGAGAAGCTGGCAAGCAGCCGGCCCCTGGAGCAAGTGCAGGCACGAGAGCAGAGCTGAGCACTTCTCCCGAGCTCGCAGCCTGCTATCCAGGGGAATCACAAGCTCTGGCAGCCCAGCACACCAGCCCTGCTCTGGGATAGATCACTGCAACCGGAATGACACAAAATACCCCTAACTGATGCAGCAGAAGCATCATCACACAGCTGCTCCAGCCTCCTGTTCTCCCCCAGGCAACTGTGTTTTGCTGCTGTCACACACTGCAAAGGACACCACAGTCTTTCTATTATTCCCTTTTAACTGCCTCGTTCTACAGAACAGCACATCCACAGACACTGCAAACCCTGTTCGGATACAAGGGAGCAGACTAAACCAGATCCACCCCGAGATACCACACTTGTTTAAGCACGCTGCACAGACAGCTTCCTTTTGCTCGCATTCACTGCATAGTTGCTCTCTAGGAAAGCAGCCAAGAATAAAGAGAAATCACCATTAGGTGATTGCTGTTATTAGTCCTTATTAGTACCATACTAAACAACTCATTAGCAACCACAGCAGCTGTAAGCACTAGATTGGCACATTAACAAATAACATGTAAATATGTGTATGATCACTGAAGGCAAGTGCAGGGAAAGACACATCCAGACTGGACTGAAACCAAGCAAAACACAAGCACTAACATTTGCAGAATGTTATGGAAACAGCAGAAAGGCAGCAGGTTAAAAAAACAAATGCAAGTAGTTTTTTCCCCAAGCGAGGCGTGGATTGAGCACTAGACCTCTGAAATAKCAGCAGTTTGGAACCCAGAAAAGAAAGCAGCACGTTATCTTGTTAACTTGTGCCCAGAGACATGAGAGCAGGCCCATGCACACCCAGGCATCTAACACAAAGCTCAACTGAACATTGATATTTACACCCTTTCCAAAGTGGGGCGATTCCCAACGTTTACAGAGCAGCCACAGAGGCCGCTGCTACCCAAGTCCCGCAGGATTACGTGTGGGGGCCTTTCCTGCAGAACCTTCCAGTCTCTGCAATTTCTCAYGCTATGTATTTTTAATGTCATCCCAGAATTGTAGGAAACAATGGGATAAAAAAAAAAAAAAAAAGCCGCTGAGTAGATGTCTGTACAATCACTTGTAATATTTACTTACTTTTGATATCTTAATTACTTGGCAAAGAAAGAAGTTTACCCGAGAATTGAAGTTTATCTTTGAAGATCAAATACAACTCRGCGCACATTTAATCAAGAATCTTTCTGAAGAGTTTACAGCTTTAATCCATCCTTTCTAACCTTCTCTGCGATGGATAGTCTCTCCACCTTCTCCAAGTATGAAAGCAGAGCAGCTCCTGCAGGGTTAGGAGCAATGGATTTATGCATTAAATAATGGGATAATGCAGTTAGCCCAGTGCAGGGCTAACTGCACTGCAGCAGGCACTGGGAAAGGAAATGAAGTGTAAGGAAAGAGCAGGAAATTATCATAGAACAAAGAAAGGAGTATTCGCCGGGATACAACTCCCGAGGCCTCTGCTTTTCACATGCTGGCAAGGCGGGTTCCTTGGGAAGGGCAGCAGAAGCAAGAGCAGTTCAACGAGTAACAGAAATAAACTGAGGAAAAAATAGATTTTGTAAGAGACTTTATAAAYTCATTTACTGTGAGCAGCCAGAGCTGGTTAGGTCCCTTCCACCTTTCAGAACTACACAATTAAGTGATTAAAATTTTTGTCTTATCTTGTAAGGAAGGAAATAGCGCAGAGGAGTAAAACCGAGGCATGAAACTTAAATAGGCAAACATGGCTAGAGAATGAACTTCAGAAGGCAGAGAGCAGCAGCAAAAGAGAAGGTGGTTTTCAAGCACGAATGCAAACCACAAGTAGATAAAAAGACGTGGAAGCAGCAGCGCTGCCGTGCTGCACGGGCCGCGTTTCTCCAAGAGCAGGTGGAAGCTGCCACGGGGACGGCGAGGCAGGCGCCGGCTGGCCGCCGTGACTGGGATCACCGGGAGGCCGGCAGGCGGGAACACACCGGCTCCTGCACGTGCTCGCGGGCGACGGAGCCGCCGGCCAAGCCGCCCACCTCCCTGCTGCTCACGGCCTCCRTCGCTCCGGGGCTCGCGGGCCGAGCCCGGGCAGAGCGGCACAGCGCCGGAGAGACGGGCCCCCGAGGCCGGGCCAGGATCCGCTGAGCTCCAGCACCGGGAGGCGCAGGGAAAAGCGACACGAGAAGAGAGCAGGGGCCAGGATGGGACGTCCATGCTGTGCTGCCCACTCCGCCAAAGGCCCCCTGGAACAGGCAGGAAAAGCCTTCCACCGAGAGGTAACAGGAAAGCCTGCTAGCAGAGCTCTCACGAGGACCCTCTGCTTCACAAACTGAAAGAATAAGCAGTGTGAAGAAAAGCAACTGTTGCCTTCTGAGGTCTTAGTTTGTGCTCCTCGTCTAGCTAATTGCCTCACTGCATAGCAGGCTTTCCTTAAGATTAATAGTATTTGGATGTTATTTACCTTTCATAGACAAAATATTGAGATTCTTGCTCTAGTAGGACTTTGAGGAGGATGTAGGAAAAGCTTTTTAGACAAAATATTGAGATTCTTGCTACAGCGCTTTGAGGATTTGCGGGAGAACTGGCACCGTGCCCCACAAATGCCTTTTCTAATCGAGATTCCCTTTCAGGACGTGGAATTCTAAATCAGCCGTCACCAAGGGAATTAGATATTTAGTCCTTGAAACAAACACAAAATCAGAATTAAACACCCCTGAACAAACATAAGACCCAATGGAAGTATTTCATTCAAAAAGGCCTTGCTTGAACATTATAAATCCGATCGCAGTTGAAATTAATTTCGGGGACTGTTGCGCGGCTTGGTTCACCTTTCTGGATTACACAGTGTTGGCTCCATTTTATTTTAGCTTAGAATTTGCACCGAAGCCTTCACTCCTGCTCTGGGTCAAGCAATAACACTCTATAAGTCACGGCAGCAATTGCACCGACGGGAAAACATCTAGTTAAGTATTAATGAGATTTCCGAGGGTGAAGAGGAAGGCAGACGGGCGGGCGCAGCCTGGCAGGGCACAGCTCAGCCACAGAGACACGGGGGCTGAACCCCTGCCACAGGAACAGGGGAACACACGAACCAGAGGCTCCACAGAAACACCTGCACCCAGCACATCGCTGTCAAACCTCGTCCTGGGCTGGGAGTCACGGAGAAATTTCTAATTAAAACGTTAACCATGACACTGATAGAGCTAGATGTTCCTCAGCATTTGCTTACAYGCTTAACCTGTGCAAAGGACTTAAAATCTAGTCATTAAAGCAGCACATTAGGATATGACTGTCACAATGACAGCATGTCAATAAAAAACAAAACATCAGGAAATAAACTGGAGAAAATTCCTGGAAGTGGAAAGCTTTGTAAAGCAAGGAGAGCTGCTTCCATGCTCAAATAGCAGCACTTTAAGAGCACACGCAAGCCCTAGCCTTGCCTACTGCCAGAATTTTCAGAAATAGCATGTTAAAATGAGAACCGAAAGACACTTAATGAAGTGTAGATTATTGTTAACCAGTATAGCCACTAAAAACACAGAGGATCACCCCGCAGCTTTTCTTGGCATAGCTGATTTACCAGCTCATTTTAAAGGCCTGCAGTTTAATTCAGCTCCTGTGCTCAAAAGAGCTCAACAGAGGCTGCGTGGATCACGGGCAACATCTGCACTGGCTCACACGCCATCCTGGCTTTGCCTTTTCAGCGGCAGCTCCGCACTGCTCCCCTGGCCCGGCCTCAGGGCTGTGCTGGGCTCAGCAGCAGCTTCCCTCTGCCTCCAACCCAGCTGCCTCCACATCCCTGCGCGTGGCGGCTCGGAGCAAGCCGGGCTCTAGGAACACATTCCAGCAGGACGTGCTCCAGGAGCAGAGCTCGTCCTCCCCGGAGGCAGAGRGCAGCCCCAGGCAGATGCGCTCACAGGCCGGCGGTTTGCTCACATCAGCCTCATCCCAAAGCAATTAGAGCAGCCTGCTCTGAAAACGGCACTAGTCTTGCAAGGAAATACTAGAGTCATAGAGCTTCTGGGTCCAAAGGAGGAGGCTGACAAGTGCCGGTACAAATATAAAGTATAAACTGCGTGTCCACATGCCCACTGTCCCTCCAAACGGAGCGGGGGGTGACACACACCGGGGCGGCGGTGCATAAGGACCGAAACCAACCTTGGGAGGCCCCTTCCACCCTTAAGCATTCTAGGATTTTATGATAAGGACACGCCTCAATTGCAGACTGCAAATAAACGTTATCGTGGGAATTGGTTTCTCACTTCACAGCAGGAAAACAAAAGCCACAGTGGTGCTGAGATACTCCAGCTTCAAAAAGGTGCATTAAAAGTACATTGAAACCATGAATATTAGAGAAGAAAAAAAGAATGCACAGTTCTCAGGGAGATCCTAAGGGTTTTTTGTTTTTTTTTTTCCCCTGTGAAAAATCAGACAAAATCTATTACTGCTTTCACTCAGTTTTTCTGGTCCCATCTACTTAGCTGAATTCATTCCCCACTCATTTAGTGCACCACAACGGAAGTTTCCTCCTGCACATCTCTCCCCTACATTGTTATTCCATCCAAACCGATTCCCTGGATTTCCCCCCATTTGCGCCATGCATCTACAAAAACAGCAGCTGACTTCAGAGACACCCCTGCCCTTAGTGCCCTACACAGACACAGGTGCCCAAGCACAAAAAACCCTCCACAACCGACGGTGCTCAGCAAGGGCAGCGATGGGCAAAACGACACACAGGGCACAGAACTCGCACAGGAAGGTCAATATTCAYGGCAGAGAAGTCATCACTTGATCTCATCCTCTTAGACACATCAGTTCCTGCTGCTACCCTGGTTGGCGATGGGGTTTAGTGCCTGGCAGGAGCACCCCGAGGAGCCGGGACGCGCTCCGGCCGCGCGCAGGGCTCGGCTCGCAGCTCAGCACCCGCAGCAAGGCATGCAATGCTCAGCGACCAAGCAGTATCGATGCAAGGCAGGAGAGCTCTCAGGAAATTAACTGATCATGATATTTACTCTTAAAAATATGTGCCTTATTATACTCTGCTTTGGTTAAGTCATTTTGCTATCCGCTGGCAATTCCCAGATAAAAGGAATTTCCTCTCCTTTCCCGTAAGTGCTTTTAAACTACAAACGAGTCACCGGGATCTTTTCTCGGTAAAGCAGCCCACGTTCCTGCACTCGGGATTACTCAGCTGCTGCCAGGGAATCGCTCCCCTAAGGGCAGACTCGCCGCRCTGGGTCCAGGCCCCGCAGCCTCCCCAGAGTCCTGCTCGCCCGAGTCCTCTCGTGCCCGTCTCTACCAGTGCCCAGGACCATCCTCCTTAGCACACTGCTCCTTCATGAACTGCTTTCTGCCACTGACGACAACAGTGTTATGCCCCAGAGTTACAGTACAACAAATATCCAGGGATTTTGGGAATCATCCATCTTTCCTATCTTGGATAAAGCCCTGAGATCCATATTGCTAAGCAGGAGCCCCCATTCCCTACCCGGCAAGATTCCCCACAACAAGGTGCTTATGGAGCACAGCTACAGCGCTACCTCATTCGGAGGTCAGGAAGCAACGAGCTACAGCCAACAGCGCCACAGGCTACGGAAAGGACCTCTCGAGAGACCAGAACATGCTCTGAGAAGGTACTCAGAARCAGTTTTAAGTTATTTTCTTCTTTCAATCTTTGCTAAGTATTTTTTTAAAATATATTTCCTGATTGCTGCAAGACTTCGGATGCTTCTATTAAAACGCTTATTAGCACTACAAAGGCAAATCCTAGCCCTCATCAGCAGTGCTGCTGTCAGCACATCAAAGGCTCAAACAAAACCGATAAGCAGATAGGGCACCTCATATCTGCAACCATCATCTTCCACTCCGTATTAACCCTCTAAGTCAAGCACAAGGGAGTGCTCTAATCAGGCCATATTCCTCAGTGAGGATTTGCTGCTTGAGGCAAGAGTGGCATCTCCTTCAGCTAGCACAGGACTAAGGCCCCTCGTTCAAGTGGTGAAACAAGGATGCTACCCCCAAGCCAGGTTTAATTTCACATACATTTCACATATATTAAGCAGCACGTTTACACCTACCAGCAGGCAAGCACCTTGCCCCACACCAGTAGGATTACTCCTAGGAACAGAGCAGTTCAGTTYATCTCGTTGCCAGCTGAATTGGCAGCTTTGCCTCAGTAACATGTTTTAAACAATTCTCCTCACCAAACGTAGCATTTGAAAAACAACACAYACCACACCAGTTATTTCAGAAATTTTAATTTAATTATAACTGCAAATTTCTTCATTTTGCGTATCCTCAACCTGACTAAAATTTATGGATTGTTCTGGGCCTCTTAACAAGTCTGTGTGCATTTTGCTTCCCATTCCTTGCTTTTTGAAAGATTAAGTGTACTATGGATCTGCCTCTACTAGACAGGTGTCTTCTTTCAGAAAGAAAAAAAAAACTTGACCCAAGACTTGCCCTAACATTCAGCAAATGAGTCACTGCCAAACATTACATCTTCCATATCCATGCCTGAAAGTACCTTTTAATGACTCCACCATAAGACAGACACACAACTTGAAATTTAAGCTAAAAAAAGCCAATAGAAGTGTTATCTATCAGCACTAACTGAACAAAACATCAGCACTCGCCTTTCCAATTTCAGATCCAGAAAGGCAACACGCTCACAATTACAAGACAGGCACAAAGCAGAGCACAAAGGCACACCACAGGAAAAGCCCCCAAACTAAAGGCATCTCAGGACGGCGGGCCGGCCAGCCCACGGCRAGCTGTGTCGTGGCAGAACAACGTGCAATCACTACAGGAGCCTCCTGCCAGGAAACCTCGTCCCCTACAGCAGCTCGTGTCCCACCCAAGAGCTGCTCCCAACAACCAGCAGCCGATAGCGCAGAGCAAGCCCTGAACGCGCCGCCGAGGGGCGGCCCAACAGCTGGCAGTGACASAGGGCCCAGATCGTTAATTAACTTCCCCGTTAGTCCCAGGGCGCGGTGTGGAAGCACTTCCTGCAGGAAGGGCTGTTTCRGCTGTGGGGCCATGTGTGTGTGTGTGCAGCCTGTGTGTTGCTCTGGGCGCTGGCTGAGGCCGATTCCCGGTACCCTCATTTCCACACGCTGTCCTGACCCCCTTGCTCAGGAGAGCTACCGCAGGGAAGGCCAGGGCAGCAACTTCTGATATCAGCCCAACTTGCACTCGAGCGCAGAGGTTGTTGGTAAGAGTGGCTGTTAAAGGATACCAGAAGAGCTTGTTTAAACTGCATCTGATTATCAATTAGGGCCTGGGACGAGATGAAAGGCATCCAGCCATGGGCAAAGGACAAAAGAAAAAACACACACAAAAAAAAAAACAAGCGAAAGGATCAGAGAAACAAAAATAATCAACAGCTTATAGCAAGGGGAGCCTAACTTTTTGGAAAAGGGAATTTCAATTAAAAAAGGTGACGGGATCTGAACCAAACAAACGGGTTTGCTAAACAAGTGTTTTCTGTTACAAAGCTTTGAGATTTGGGCTTTCCATGTCCACACACAGTAAAACATCTTGGACTGATTTATTTTCTTCAGTGTTTCTATGTTGCTTCTTTACCCTCATTTTACTCCAAAGGGAAAAATAACTCCTAGAACCATCTCCCCCGACAGAAACACCTTCCTTAGGCATCAAGCGGAAGCATCTGCCGAGGCAAGGCTTGCCAGCGCTGCCTTCAGGTCAGTACTCACTTCCAGCTTCTTCTCCTTCTCGCTGAGCACGTCCTTCTGATTCTGCGTGTACTCGATGAGCATGCGCGCGAGCTGCCGCCGGTCCTCCAGCTCGGCGGCCAGCCGCCCGTTGTACTCCGCCAGCAGCAGGCACGCCTCGTCCACCGTCTTCGAGAGCCGCTCCGCTGCCTCCTTGTCTGCGGGCAAAAGGGGTCAGGAATCGGCAGGACAAAGTTTAAAACCTYCACTCTTTACAGAAGGGTTATAATTCACCACGCACAATAGCATTTCATTCRTAAGTGCGGGCCTGGCTTGATAAGAAAACTGAATTCTTATCACAAGGACTATAAAGAAAATAGGCAAGACAAACAACTCGAGAACAGTGTTTTTCAGACACTCATATAAATGACTACTCTGTTCTTGGAGAGATGTCCATGATTAGATATGAAAACATATCTAAAATGTTATAGGAATAACAGATTCCTTTAACCAGAACTTTAGGCTGCACATTCAGGATTTATTTAAATCAGAGGGCTTTAATATTTAAACGTGATAGGGGCTTTTTATTTCCTCTTTTCTCTCAGTGCTGCTAACATATCCATACAGGCAAACATACAAACTGTATGCCTTGACGAGGGAACACAGCAATAATGTATTACTAAGAACTGAGTGACAATTCATAATGCGTTCTAAATTCAACTACTTCCAGGAACAAGAAAAAAATCAATTAAACTTTTAAGATTATTTTAAAAATATAAAAGTCATTTAAATAACGACTGTCAGACTTCCGGGAGCAGGGAGTTTATTTTGCCGCAGCCATGAAGGGGTACATGTGTACTCAGCACAGCCCAATTAGATCCATTAAAAGGCCTAATAGTCCAGGTGTTCAGAAGTCCAGCGCATCCATTTGAGAGCTCTGCCTCTGTTCCCTCTACGTTCTTCCAAAATGCTGTTGATGTTCTCAAGCACAAGAACCTTTGTAAATGTGTAGATTGGTCTAAGCCAAAATAAATGGAAGAAGGTATATAAATTTCATCCTCAATTATATTTCACGGGGTTATGATCTATTAATTACGCAAGAATTAGAAAATAAGCACAAAAAAAAGAAAGAGATTTATCCCTTTTATGTAGAAATCAAACATCTTTAAGTTACGCTGGGCCGGTTTTCCTTCGCCCTCAAGTTCATACCTGTGATTTTCTCCAGTAAGGAAACATCTTGCACTTCCTGGGGCAAGGAGGCGATCTTCTGCCGCACCGTGGCGTCTCCCGAGGCTGCGTTCTCCAGGTCCTGCAGGGCTTTGATCAAATCCTCAGTCTACCAGACGGAAAGACAAGCACACTACCGTTAAAACCAGGTAACTTCCATGGRGGTTCCTACAGGCACGGACACTGCACTACCCTCCGAGTCGCTAACCTGAGAGCAACCATTACTGGAGATCTTTTTCAGTTAATTTTTAAACACTTCCTTCCTAATACACAGAATGTTCACTAAGTTTACAATATCCTGATATTTATTAATTTATATTTATATTATTTATATAATTTATAATGTATAATTACATTACTCAAGACCCTTCAGTTAGATGATCTCTGAACTGGAATGAAAAGTTTTTAAGACAAAAGCTGAAAAGATCACTGCCAACCTCAGAAATAGCCACCACTCCTTGGCTTGGCATCAGACTTGCTCGGTTTGTTTTACTCTCAACTATTTCCTTGACACTTTCTCTTAGACTAACAGCAGTGCACACGAAGCGTACACATACCTTTCACTTAACCCCACACGTACAATCTGACAAAGCAAGAAAAACTGCTATAGGGCTGAACAAAGGTCAGCTTTTGAGAAGTGGAAGTTTTAGCTTGGTTACCTATTAGAAAGTTTGACTACAAAAGAACATATATATATATATATATATCTCCCTCCTATAGCAGGCTTTATATTGTCCTCTTTATTAAGGTCATTGATATTCCTCATTTAGCTAAACTGGCTCTTTGGAAGCACGCTGCAATTAAAATGGACTTTGCTGTAGCCCAGCAATTTAATCTTTCAGCTATTCTCAGTGCCTTGAGGAAAAATGCATCAGGATTAATAAACAGACCCAAAAGGTACCCTAGTGCAAGAATGTGCGTGAGCACTGCCTWAGAGGGACCTCTCTTGACCCACCCTATCACCCCGTCCCTCCTCACTACCCGCCCCTAAAAAAAGAGAAAGAAAAGGAGATTCCTGGAATTTCCTCTTTGTCTTTTAGAACAAGAACCAGGGTCTAAGACGTGGCTTTTGACACTGCAAGGCTATTCTTCTAAGCAACATTGTTTTTTAAACTAATTTAATACTTAATTAATTGAATACTTAATTAATACTTAACTAATTGAAACTTAATGAAATCATTGGAAAAAAATATCTTTTAAGTAAATATATACRGAAGTCTTGCAGTTTTATCAGAAAAATAAAGACGTCCATTGCCCGCCCAGTATTTAGTTGTTCTTTGCAAACTACTACTGATTTCCAATAGTAACAAACACACTGCTGACCATCAAGAGAAACCACAAGCTGCAACGCATCTGGAGGTAAAAACAAAAAGCTCCACTCAATCCCTTGACAGTTGTAATTTATTCTTATTTGTCCATGTTTACAGTCTACCAGATGGATGGTGTAACTTTTTATCTTTTCAAATTGACCATGGTTTAGCAAATGTTTAGTTTGCAGCCTTAGATAGTCAAAACCATCTTCTTTGTCCCATTCCTATTACCAACACATCACTAACACGTCAGCCTTAAAATAATGTCTTTGATTTTTGTAACCAGCTCCACACAAACCTTTCTAAGGYTGAACTTTTTAATGCATAGAGATATGCATTAAAAAAAAATTACTTTTACAAGTAATTACAAAATTACATACAAAAAATTACTTTTAAGTGCTACAAGTTGGGTTTGGGAGCTCACACACCATTCCTGGCAGTCACTGAGAGCACGGCCTGTCCTAGCTGCCCCCTGAGCCTCGTCACCGCCGGCGCTCTGCAGCCCTGCTTAGCCCGGCTGCATCACTCGCACGTGYGGCAGTGTTTTAATGAGAGACAGGCAAGCATCTCCTCCATGACACACCGGCTCCCAGCCCCAAGGGAATCTCTCCAGGAAAGGTATTTGTACTTGTTGGCAGCTCCACCTCGTGGCTGTCCCACACAGGAGGTGGCTTCGCAAACCTCTCCCACCCTCCATCCTTCACACATACCAGAAGCGGCCCAGCACTAGGGTCTTGGGGTGAGTAGCTCCCAGGGTAATCATCATCTTCCTCCTCCTGTATCTGCTGAAAAGTCCGCTTTAAAGACTTCTTCTCCTCTGCAACTGAAGACACACACAAGCAACTCATTTGGGTGCCAAACCCACACGTCCCAACTGCCGCTGCTTCCATGAGCGCCGGCCGCCACACGGGACGCTTTGGCRACAAAGCCTCCCGAAAGAGAAGGGTGGTCGCAGATGGACCGGGCTCTGGCTGCAAACGCTCAAACGCACACGGCAAGGGAGGCCAGCCCTGCTCACACAGTGCATGCACACGTGTCCAGAGCCCAGGGATTCACCCTCCTCAGCACCRTGCACTGCTCCCGTKCACCCTCCTGCCTCCCACGCTGAGGACAGGTAGGGCAAGAGAAGGCCCCTGGACTTGCCCACTAACAGGCAAGTCTCCAGCACCGCTCCAAAGCGCTGGTTAATGCTGCACAGGGAGGGTAGCGCTCCCACCAGCACAATCGGAGCCTGGATCCTAAGATACATATGAACAAAAGAAATGGAAAATATTTCCCCTCACAGTCAAGGGACAAAAACTGCTGCTTCTTCAGTCTTGCCCTCCTCCATGGAAACAAAGACCTGAGGGCAGCTCTGTCAACAGGGAGCTCTCCAACAAGATGCGACGGCAACACTGGCAACGGGCTCAGCACCAACTGCTCCTGCAAACAGGTACCTTGTGACACCGCAGAAATAAGGACTGCATAACAGGAAGATATTAGGACCCTTGGCACAACACGCCTCGGCTTGAGAGGGAAAAGCCCGCTTATCTTTTGAGTCAGGAGCCTTAATGCAGCACTGCATCCAGCTACAGRGCCTTCAGAAGGGGATAACTCATTTTTCAGACTTGTCATCAAAACTTGGAAGAGTCAGGGTAATTTGTAAGACAGCTTTGGACAGAGTCCTACAAATATCTCTCAAGTGAAATCAAGTCTCCAAGAACCAAGATAACCACAGAATTCAGGGGAAACRGTCAGTATATGAGCCAATTCACAGAAAAATCCAGGATCCTTCTTGTTTTAAAAATGTGGCACTCTGCCCAACTCTACTGAAGGAGCACACAGAAAGGTGAGCCCTTCTACGCTGGGTTTTGCTCACCCTGTGAGCTGAAAAAAAGAAGTTATTTTAATGGAGAGGTGCTTCGCATCTTGCTAGTGGGGGAGAAGCTGAATCACCTTCACGAGGCAGACAAAGCAAACCAAAAAACACATCTCAAGACATCAAATCAGCTCTATGGAAGGCAAAGCAGCACAGAAAACATAGTCATCCAAAAACATTATTTTTTGATGTATGCTAAAGTCAAGCTATGGAGGCTAAAAAAAGGTATGATATAGACTGTACATATACAACTGTGGGGGGGAGAACTTGATAATAGGTCTGATAGGCAAATAAGACACCAGATGAACCAGAAGAACAGCCGCAGTTCACTGTGGGATGCAAAAAAGAGCCRCACATAGAACTGAATGGAAAATGTGCAGACCACAAAGCGGCCAGAGAGCATTTGAAGTCACACAGCCTCAGAACAACGAGCCATGAATATTCATCACCCCTATGTGCTTAGCATAAAGTAATTAACCAATAAGAGATGAAAAGCMGCAGCTGACACAAGAGCGAGGGACCGCGGCGCACACGAGGTGCAGAAGTGCTGCACAGTGAAGGATCCTGCTGCATCCCACCGCTCTGCCTGAGGGCAGCAGGAAACCCCTCCAAAGAATTCTGGAAACACCGTTCCCTGCCTCTGGAATATTCCAGAGGTCTCTTTTCACAATATATACACACACACACACACACACACACTTCCATACACACACATACATACATACATACGACCTCTGAAAGACAAGTCAGGCCCAAGTCACAAATGATCCTGCCTTAGTAGCCTTGAAGAGCTGCTAACCACGAATAATTCAATTGTTACAGTTTACACCTCAAAAAAAAAAAAGACAACCTCTAATCTATCAAAAGAAAAAAAAAAAAAAACACTAAGAACATCCAGAATTGAACAGAACTCAACAGCAAGGTACCATTGTAGAAATGACATTTTCTTAAACCTAAGGGTGTCAGAGAAGACCCTGCTCAGAGAAGAGATGAAGCTGGCTTCCTGCTGCTTCTAGGTCTTCCTAAGGTGTAGATGAGGAACTCATGGTTGAGCAGGATGGCGTTGAAGGGTTTACGGTTGGACTGGATGATCTCAAAGGTCTTTCCTACTCTGTGATTCCGAGCTTGTCGCTGAGCTACTCCCCGAAGGCGGCAGAAGGGACCCACACTCGCTGCGCCCACAGCTCCCAAGGGGCGCTCCAGGCGGTCGCTGACCTCACAGCTGCAGCGTCAGGCGAAACCAAASACGCCTGTAAACGAACTTGTCCCCAACTGACTTCAGATCATCCTGGTGGCCCGAGGAGACTCTAGAGCATCGTGGGGCGGCCTCTGGTAACAAAGGCCAGGCCTGCAGTTAACTGGCAAAGCAGGAGCTCTTCCCGTCCAGGACRTTCACCTTCTCGTGTTCTTCTCCTGAAGATCCTTTTAGAGGGAAACAGACTTCTTGGATTGCATTCCCGACTCTATCATAGAGCACAGAGAAACCAGCAGAGGAATCTGGATATGCATTAGAAGAGTAATGAGAAGCTTAAAACTTTGCTCTGTTACAAAGAGTGATTTTATACTGTCTTGAGATTAAGAAAAAAAAAYGAAAAAGCCTTACAATGAGCACATTATTATCTCTTATGAGGGCTTGGTTACATGTCGTTCCTTATCCAAGAGGTACCTACATGATATTTCAAGAAATTCCATATGTAGATTGATGCATTTCACTGGTGGACGCACACGAGTTTACCTTTTTACAAAGACAAATAGTCGATAGGTGAGGATTTACCAGCCTTTGCTGACAATTAAACACCAGCTGCAGCTTCGATGCCAAGTGGCAGGAGAAGCTTCTGCCTAGAGGGCAACAGGCTAGAAACGCCACTCAAGCAGATATTCCAGATCTGCAGAAGACAAAAGGTTTTCATTTCCAAAGTCCTAAAGCCAACCGCTTACTTGAAGGGTAAAGCAGCTGAATCTTTGCGCTTTGTTTACCTAGTGGCAGAGCTCTCATCCTCGGCCAGCAAAACCAGAAACAAGCCTCCCAAAACCATGACAACAGCAACAAACCCCGCACTTTTGCAGGCTTTATGTTCCAAGGAACCTGATACACAAGGGACGCTTTTTGAAAGCAATTAGTACAAAATACTGAATACAGTAAAAAACTAATCTCACTTCCAAAAAGATCCCCATCACCTCAGAAGACARAGAGCAACAAAATATGAGAAATCTAATGCTTCAGTGCGCCCTCTCACCATCCCAAGCCCTCGATATTACAGTCAAGTGATTCATGATTGTTAAGGTCTTCTTCCAACACACATTCTTCGGTATCCTGTCCCACATCACGCTTCTCTAGAACTGATCTGCTCCAAAACAATATATAATCCTGTCCTCACGTGCCTTTATTTGGATTATTCTTGGAAGCATTCTCATCCGTTTCCCTTTTTGCCTTGTTTCACTCCGTATTTCAATGCAGTCTCCCTCCCTGTGGCTCAGTGGGCAACACAAGCTCGTTATGTTCTACAGTGTCTTGTGATGCTCCCACATCAGAGCACACTCAGGGCTTCCTTCAATTGCTTATTAAAATAGCAGTGACAACACRTCAGCTATAATAGGTTATATTACCTCAAGGATTTTATATCAAACCTCTACAGACTTTATTTTTTTCAGTCCTTACGATAAATGGGTTGTTCTCCTACCTATTCTTTGTAAAGAAACATTTTATTAAAAAAGATTAATGAGAAAGCAAATGCAAGTTTAATGAACACATTCAGAATTGAAATCCCTATAAATAATGATATGAACATTCAGAAGTTTATTGATACATGCCCATGTTTCCTTAGCGAGCCTGAACGGGAGCGATAGGGAAGGGAACCGCGGGGCTCCAAGGAAGGGGCGGCCAGGGCGGGGGGTCTCCTCATTGAGGCAGCCCCTTCGCTTCCAGCCCRCCCCGTTACCGGAGCCTTTGCTCCGCAGGGTGCGATGGTGGCTGCGCCCCTCGACCACGCGCAGGAAGCTCTAGGGACCTGTCTGGTGGCGCCGGGCCCTGGTCTTGGCAGTCTGCAGCACGTAGAGCCACCTCGTTCAGCAAGGGCACTTGGTCTAAACCTTGGTCTAAGGTCCKAAACAAGACAGGGCAGCACTAAAAAGCACCACATCTATCTGCATAGACTTGCTGCTGCCCTTTCGTAGGCTCAGGAAGAGGATRTTCACTGAAATAGAGGCTCTCAGGGAGCTCCAAATTTCTTTTTTACTGGTATGTTAAACCAACTAGAGATACCAGTGCTACCTATTTCTAACCCATATCCACTTTGGAAACAGGCAAACACAGGAATTCAGCTTTCACATTCACATTGCTTAAAAAAAAAAAAATCTAGCCACCACGTGCTCAATGAAGTTCTYAGAAGGGCCATATTCCTTGTCATTTCCCACAGCTCTGTGACAATTAGGAAGTGCTGGATACTGCACGGACAGTTGCRGGTTTAAAGGCAACAGTAGCAGCATCGATTGATATCCGCACCCACAACAGCAGATGATGCTGTGCAGCGGCTCCTGGCTAATTCACCTGGATTGCATATCTGCTTTTCTGAACAAGCATCACCTTTTTTAATAAGAGACACACACATCTCCGGGCATTTCGCAGGTCAAGTTTCATACATTCAGTTATTCACTTTAACAAGAGCTCAGGCATGCAAAACCGCAGTCCTTCCCTGGCACACAAGCGTCCCAAGCACCACGGCCACTCAGGGACAACTCATCCAAGTCAACTCCACTTTAGTGCGTGGTGATGTCYCAGGCTCCTGGAGGACCCCTGTCCCTTCCCCGGCACCTGTGACGGAGCCGCTGCAGGAGGCCGCAAGATTCCGTGTCCCGACACAGAGAGGGAATCCCGACGGGCAGCCAGCCTCCAAGCAAACAGAAAGGCACAAATTCTGAATAACGGGTTACGTTATGTTGGAAGGCACCAACCATAAACTCCTAGAGCTGACCCTCTCACTAATTTTACCTGAAAACGCATGTTAAAAAACCCAAACTGTAACCACAGACATATGTGATTCTACACRCTTTCCTCATGCCTTCAGATTAATGCTGTGCAACTAACGTTATTGCCTAGAATAAGGTTTACACTGTTCTTGCTTCTTCCCCCAGAACACTCCACCAGCGATTAAGCCAAGTCTGGCACTAAGTTCACAGATTCACAGAATTCACAGATTTACAGAATATTTAAGGTTGGAAGGGACCTCTACAGATCATCTAGTCCAACCTTCCTGCTCAAGCAGGCACACCTACAGCACAATAAAGCACCGCAACTATGCAAAGCAAAAAGAATGTGAAAACAAAGTACTGAACACAGCACCGTAGCCAGGCTGCTGGTTATGCTCGTACACGGGAAGCGGGACGTCAACCCCAGCAACTGCCCCCTGCCCGCCCGGCCCCCCAAAAGCGGGCARCCCTGCAGCACCTGCCCGGTGCCCATTGCTGGGGACGAGTCACRAGGCAACAAGCTGCCTACGTGGAGCTCGGGGTGTGAAACGTCTCTCCAGACACTTGAAAAGTCTCCAAGAGCAACTCTGACAACAGCACAACGTAGGAGCGCAGAGCTCAACCTTTCACGSTTAATCTTTCAGCAAAGCATGCATTAATTAAAAAGCAAAACAACACAACAAAACAATTAAACACGTGCTCACCTTTAGTTTGGGGACTATTGGAGTCTTCCATCGAAAGTTTTAACTGTTGGATGAACTCACTGCCATACACGCTCCTTTCTTGCCAGATGTTAAGCAATCGYTCCAAGGGCTTTTTGCAGCCCTCATCTGCTTCTCTGTTCAAAGATTTAAGAAATGATGAAAATACAAGAAATTAAGAAGGCATCTTCCAAAAGAGGAGTTAAACTCATTGCAACATCTGCATTTTTGGAGAGACTCTCTGGCATAACCTGCACRAAACACACTTGAAACCAATTTTCCCCTTGAATTAGAAGCAAAGATTACTGGAAAGTGCCCTAGTTCCCTCCCCAAGGAAAGAGCCAGGAAATTTTTCAAGGAAGAAACTTGGTATCTTTCAGAATCAGAAAAAAAAAAAGAAGTTACAAAACATCTCCCAGTTGCCATGTTTTCTATTTACATTACTAACTGGAAACAATTGTTTCAGTCGGCAGCCTCCTAGTCAAAAATGTTTGGATGTTTGGATCATTAGGCACTTCAATGGACACTGAAAGCACAAGATACCACTAAATGCATGTAATGCTGAAGTTGTTTCGCTGAAACAATAATTATTATGCTATTTAGAGAAAGTCTTGACTAAGTGGTAGTCCATTTTTCACAGCTGCATCGCATCTCCTCTCCTTCTATAGAGGAGGAAATCTTCCTTCTGCCAACAGGAAAGCCAATAACTTTTAAAACAAACAGTGCAGAAAACTATGCTCAAATCAGAGACAGATGGGAAACCAGTGACCCTAAAGCATCACATGTGTTTTAAATTCTTCCGAAAGGGGAGAAAAAGTCATTGTTACGCAGCTTGAGCTCATGTGGGCAGATATGCAATGTCAGTACCTTCAAACAAGGTGCAATTGTCACCTCTGAACGGATCTGCAAGATCTTGTAAGAACAGTTAAAACAAAGCGCGTGGACTCGCATGCAGAGCAGAAGTGTTTGTGAACCAGCCCCTCACGACCTGAAACAGGAATCCCGCACGAGAGGGATCAAAACTGAACAGCTCCCATCCCCAAGGCAGCCCGTGCCCAATTCCCACCAGACAGCGGGCACAAACACTCCTGCAATCAACCAACACTCGTTATAACGCGAGCGCACAACCTTTAGAGAGCAGATCCGAGTTCAAAAGCGAGGCAGCAACGTACCTGGCGACGTGGGAAAAGGCATCCACGAGGACAGACTCAAACTCCCTCGTAAACTCGGGCCCTTTCCTCTTGCTGTTCTGGATGACATCGTTCGCCAGGTAGAGGAAGGTCAGCTTCCTGCTCGACTTCGCTAGGAGAGCAGAGGGACAGTTTGCGACTGCTTCCCGCTCCTTTCACCTGCTGTTACTCACGAGTTACTCACACTCAGCCCGAGCTACTCACACTCGGCTCCAAATATCCCTGCTGCTATTGCAGCAAGGGCCCTTCGAGGCAGGCAGCTCCTGCCCCCTTTGCTTTTGCTATTTCTTTTCCAATTAATTCATGAAATAATCGTGATCCTGATCCTTTTTGTGCAGTCACCTCAACTCTGAGCAAAGCTATGCAAAACTTAAGCCTTAAATGTGCCTGAAAATAAAAACAAGTGTTTCAACCTAGCAACTAATTAACACTGAATTTTTCATTAAATGGCTTGCAAAAAGATTTGCATTGAATTTTCTACGATATATTTGGAGAAGAGCAAAACCGCTCGACGAGACCACCGCAGCAGCGCCCGCTGGCCTGGGCCAAGGGGGCACCAGGGGACAGCGTGTCCGGGGGGCACCGACGGGACCCYGCAGGCAGGGTGCTGCTGGCGGGACAGCAGGGCAGCGGGACCAGGGGGTCCCTGGGGCTGGAAAAGGCCCTCGAGATGATGGGGGGCCCCCGAAACGCATCCCCGCCATCCTGCTAAGCGGCCCGGGCGCCTCCAGCTCCCGTGGTGATGGGGACGGTGCCGGGACGGCCGGAGCGCCCCCGGGACGGCCGGAGCAGCGCCGGGACGGCCGGAGCGCCCCCGGGACGGCCGGAGTGTCGCCGGGACGGCCGGAGCAGCGCCGGGACGGCCGGAGCGCCCCCGGGACGGCCGGAGTGTCGCCGTCCGGGCCCCCCGGGGCCGCCGCCTCCTCCGCGGCCTCACCCCCAGCCCTACTGCTGCTCTTGCAGAAAGGCTCCCTCAGGCCCAGCCCGCCCCAGCGGCCGCTTCCTCTCGCCCTGCCGCGCCGGCACCGGCTGCTGGGGTGAGGGGGACCCGCAGGCCCCGACGGGGCCTCGCTGCCCCCCGGACCCGGCGGCCTCCGCCCGGCGGCGCCTCCCGGGGCGGCTGCTGCGGGAGCGGGAGGGCGCGGACGGCGCGCACCTTTGCGGAGCTCGCGGTGCCACACGGCCACGATGGGCCCCGCGTGCTTGCGGTGGTGGATGAGCCACAGCGAGAGGGTCTGCACGCTCTGCTGCGAGTTGCTCAGCTCCGAGAGCTTCTTCTCCAGCGCCGACTCCGAGAACGAGGACATGGCGCAGCGCCGCCGCGCCCGCCGACGCAAGATGGCCGCGCGACCCCTCACCCCGCCGCCGCGGGTCAAAGGGCGCCGYGCTACGGATCGCCGGAGGGGAGAGGGCGAGGGGGCGGGGAGGGGGCAGCGCTGCGCATGCGCAGCCGCATTGGAGCGCGCGCCAAGGAGCCGAGCGATCGCCTCCCGCCGCTGCGCGCATGCGCAGCGCGCGCGCCCGGGACCTTTCTCACAGCGTGCGAGCGGCGGCGGGGGCGCTTTGTGGCGCTGCCCGCGCGTCACTTCCGGCGCGGGCGGGCGGCATGGCGGCGGTGGACACGCCGCAGGCGGCGTTCGCGGCGCTGCGGCCGCTGTGCGCGGAGCTGGCGCGGGCGCGCACGCGGGACAACGTGTGGCGGCTGCAGGCGGCGCTGGGCGGCGTGGGCGCCGCGGCGCTGCAGGAGCTGCAGCTCTACGTGCTGTTCCCGCTGCGCGCCGCGCTGCGCGGGCCGCCGCGCGTGGCGCAGGC